TTTAATTTGCATTCAAATTAAACTGTTTCACACCCTAATACATTTAGATTTGCATCTTTATTTCTATAATTTCCCTTTTCCTTTTTGCTTTCCCTGTTTGTACAGTTTTTCTTTCTAACAAGATTATTTTAACAAATGTAATGAAGGAGGTTGGAGTTTTTGCTTCTTTTGTAATCAGTTGGGTAGCTTTTAAATAGGTATGTATGCTTTTGCAATAAAGTGTCCAAGTACTTCTGTTGGTTGTTCAGCAGATGTTATCCAAACAGTATAATTCTATTAATAGTTTAGCAGAAAATTTGAGAGGATTTGAACTATATTTTAAAAAGAATATTAGTTAGAGACATCAAGTCTGGAATATCTGAAGCTATTTTCCTTCATGAATATAGAATTGAAGTGGACACACTTTACTGGCCCTAGATCTTGCCTTTACCCAGCTAATTTTCAGTTAATGAAAAATTGGCACTTATCAGCAATCCTTTCTTCTCTCTCCATGCCGCTGCCTAGCTCTAGAAACATGCATACATCTAAAATAGCACTGACTCATGTATCCAGAGTCAAGGAAAGAGAATACAGTGTGAATTAGGGTAATAATTATACTGATCATGTACTTTATCAAGTACTCTGATGGGAAGGCCTATGTGCTGGAAACCAGGATGATCAAACATAAGAATTGACAAGGCAAGGCAAAATGAATTCCCCACTGAGGAGGCATCACATAAAAAATTCCAATTCTACTGCTCAGATTTATCGAATCTGAACAAGATAGAAAACTGAAGTACGCTGGGGAATCAGAATATTACCATAACATGAACAATATTCGAAAGGACTCACTTCAAATGGTTACTGAAGAACCTCAGTGAAAGAAATGACTTTCTTCTGTTTCCCAACTTGTAAGTAAAAAGCAGGTCTGATTGACATGAGCAGTGGAGCTATTAGATTTTCAATCACCACTATCATGAAGAAACATTAATACGCAGTAATGAGACTAGAAAGTTGAAAAGTGCTGACAACCTCAACAATTATGACACTAGTGGAGAGAGCTTAAAAAAATCCATCATCCCATAGACTCTGGCCTGAAAATCTATGAGATGATGTATGAAATGGAATAATTTCACCCTCTTTATAGTCAAACTCCTTCAGACCTTTTCAAATTCACGCTACCTATGTTTAAGATGACTTTACACTTTTTCTTGGCTCATTTGCATGAAAGTTAGATTTTGTGTGAAATAGAGAAAGAGACCTCATACATATTTCCCTTGCACAGTCATGTTGAGCACAAAGAAATGTGAGTTGCATCAAGTTACAAAGTTAACTACCGGTTGTACTGCCCTTAACTGGGACTCTCTGGTCCGGCAACATCTGTGATCCAATAGGACCACAGCGGTTTCCTGGACCACAGAGTCCAGAGGAGGCCTGGCTATGGGGCAGGAGTAAGGCGGGGGAAGGGGGCAGCAACTCAACTGGGAGTCCCGTGGGAGGAGTAGGGAACGGGCAGTCACACACTGTAACTTCCATTGGCAGAATATTATCTGATGCTACAAAGTAGGGAAAATATGAAATCTATCAAAATGCAAAAGTGATTGGCTCTAGAAGCATGATACAAACCAGAAGAAAGTGCTAAAGCCACCCACTTCTTGCTGAAGATGGTTATGATGACCCATAATATTTAAGTTTGCATTTCTATCAAGCAGAACACAGGACAAATTTAGAGGGAAGAACTAAGTCATTAAACACTTGTGCTACGCCTACACTGGCACGTTCTTACGCAAAAACTCTTTTGCGGAAGAGTTCTTCTGCAAAAACTCTTCCAGAAGAGAGCATCTACACTGGCATGTGCTTTTGTGCAAGAGATGTGCTTTTGTGCAAGAGCATCCATGCCAGTGTAGACGCTCTCTTGCGCAAGAAAGCTCTGATGGCCATTTTAACCACAGGGCTTTCTTGCGCAAGAAATTCATGTTGCCTGTCTACGCTAGCCTCTTGCGCAAGAACCGTTGCGTAAAAGGGCTTATTCCTGAGTGGGAGCATCAGAGTTCTGACACAAAAAGCCCTGATTTCATACATTAGAAAGTCAGTTTACTTGCGCAAGAACACGCGGCCAGTGTAGACAGGCCGCTTTTGCACAAGATTGCGCCAGTGTAGGCACAGCCTTAAACAGCAACCTCTTTCCTGCAAAAGGATCAGTGGCCATAATAAAAGAAAATAAAAAGCAAGAGTACTGAGCAAGATGGTCAGAGAGGTAAGAGCATTAGCTAGAATTTGCTAAGGAAATCCAATCTTTAGACAAAATGGTGGAGAGGAAGAGAGGCAATAAACATAGAAAAGAGAGCAGCAGTTTTCAGAGTATCCAGAAAAAGAACTAGTATAGACTGAGTAACTCATGATGGCAATGATATAAAAGGACTGGAGACAGGAAACCTTCATTAGATTTAGAAAGTGGTTGAGTGAAGAGATGTCCCTCTTCATACTGGAGTTGATGGTTGGTTATGGCTCTGATGGAGGAAAGAAATAGAAATAGATCCTGGTCACTGGTTTATTAAGAGAAAAAATAGTAGTCTACTCTGACCAAAAATGAGTTCTACATCCTTTTTTAATATAAAAACGAGAGGCTTGGAAAACGCCTCATGATATTGGATAGAGAAATAGATTATGGGAAAATTAGGGTGTCACAGCCCATAACAGAAATCTCTTCCTGAGATTAGGACTTCAGTTTTGTCAGGAAAGGCCTTAATGTAATCACAAGGAAAGGGGAAAAGCACAGGTACAGTTTTGATAATGGCTAGATTTAGTTGCATAATTATGTAACCCAAATCCCCTTGATTGTCTCATAATAGTGTTAATAGGTAAAGGGATAGAGTTGAATAATAGCATTGTAGCACAGTTAATATAGCCATACTTTGACTCTTGTTAAAGCTAATCTAACCCTGCAGTTTTTAAATTTAATATATTTGAACTTAGTATACTATGTGGAAAGGGCAAGATCCCTATAGGAACATTTCTATAGCAACATCCTGCTGCTCTGGGTCTTTGTGACAGCAGATCTCCGAGCTCTTAATTGCTTTAGGGAAATTGAGATCTGTATTTGAGATTTTTGGTTAAAACCCGTCTTTTTCAGACAGGCACTGTTGGAGCATTTGCCATGGAAGGAATTTAGTGAGAAGAGAAATGTCTGCACAGCAGTGCTTGTGAAATACAACAATGGATAGAGTTAAAAAACCCACCTAGCTGAATTTCATGGAACAGTGACTACTAATGGTATTGTCAGAGACAGTTAAAAGAGAAGAACATGAGAAGACAAGGGTGAGAATCCTGCTGTCTGCAGGAGAGTGAAGTAATACATGTATTCAAAGTTTCCCAGAGGACTGGGAGTCTCCAGTGATGAAAAGAGTAGAAAGGACATAGCCATTTGTGGTGGCAAAGCCAGAGACATTTTGAAGAAAGGACTTACAAGCAGCCAAGAGATTAAGGTTTTAACTTGAATTGATTTTGATATTAGGTGTTTTGGACAAATTGTTATTTGTCTGTTTTTCAACAAAAAAAATCTGCATATTCACCATTACTCATAGTCTGGTTATAGAAAAGTGGTATGACGGACATGGGGGATCATATGCTTCATGCGTCTCTTTGTTATGTTGCTCCCTACCAGGCCTTAAAGGATTAACTCCTGCAAGACGACATTACACATTCATAGGAAGACAAATAGTGGTGTTTGATCATTCCACCATAAGTACTTAATCGACAGCAGAGGTGCCTGACCAATCAGAGCCCAACTCCCCTTGTTTGCAGTGGGAAAGGGGATCCCCAGGTAGGACTTCAGAAATAAACAACTCCAGAGTTAATGAAAATCTGAGCTCAAGCAGGGTTGTCAGGGAACAGCCTATGGACAGCAGATTTATGTAGAGGGAGACACCTCTACCTACAAGATTTGTTGTAAGCGGCTGGGCTTGACAGAGTTTTAGGTATTCCTGTATGCATGTAGGCCTTTTGTTGATTTAAATCCTATCTCTGATTGCCGTAATATTTGCGTTTATAGAAGCTGTTCTAAGTCACTACATTTAGCAAATGGTCCCAGCTGTTGAATATGAGAGGATCTTGAAGAGCTGTACCCAGCTGGATCTGGGCAAGAATCGCACTCTAGCCCCAGGAACCAGTCTAAGTGGGAGAAGTGCAGGATTCCACGAGGAGAGGTATAAAGGAGTGATGCCTGTTACATGAAGGAAATGGGGCTGGAATCAGGAATGTCATAGTTACAGAACTAGCTGGACAAGTAACATGCTTTTAATAAGTCACGAGTAACAAAAATTAAGATCCACATTACAAAACACCTTCTCCCCTCTACTCCAGGATTGTTTGGACGTTGGCTTTGGTGCAGATCTTCTTAGAGATGGGCAACTAGGACATTTGTTCTATGTGAATAATTTCTAGTCTGATTATAATGTTCAACTTTATAATAGTTTGTAAACTACACACAAATGAGCTACACAAGTTGCACTAGTAGAAGATCTGTCCCTTTGCATGAGAGGAAATTGAAATGGGGAAAAGTAAGCCATAATGTACTGGTAAAAACAAAGACTAAAGGGAGCATTTCTCCTTCAACCTTCTAGAGAAGTGGAGATAAGGAAAATAGAGTGGCGGTATCTGCTCTGCTTGACTTTTCTATCCCACTATTCAAAATCATAACATGACCTAACCTTGCGGTTGGGGAGGAAGTGTTTTGCCATCCCAATTTTTCAAGCTATACAATTTTTTTAAAGAAAAAAAACTCTTTCAATGTAAAGAGCACATTACTAAATGGAAATCGCATGCAGAGCTCTTCTGAGGCAAACTCACTGTGAGAGACTACAGTGCCCTAAACTACCTTGCATTTATATAACAGTTTTCATCCCCAAGGAACCTAAAGTGCTTTAAAAGCTTTCTCCATAATTCCACTCTTTTCTAAGTAAGGTACTACAGATATAGCTATATGCATCTATACAGTAAAACAAAGAGGTTCATCCACTCACCACTGAAATGCAAACATATCGGGAATGAAACAATGAAGTCCTTAAACAGAACTCGAGAACATAGCACTCTAGATTTCAAGAAGCAGCAAAAATGTAACTGAAATTTATTTTAGACAGGCATAATATGGTTACTCAAAGAGAAATTTACCCAAGGCAGTAAGGTCTGCCTTCTTGTGATTCTGAAAAATGCTATGTGACCTTAGTAACCATAGCAGCAAGAATCTCAATTTTGCATACTGACTGTTAGGTCATACTGCCAGCAGAGCTAAGCTATATAGGGGGATTTGGTTGCACACTGACTCAAGCCACCACTGATTTGTGATTTATGAATTATAATTATTCTCCAAATATGGGGGTTTCACCCATTTCCCATCAACCTGACATTTTTTCTTTTCGAAATGCTTCTTCCTTCAGTTATGTTTCCCTGTGGAATCAGACTGAAAACTTGGATCACAATGAGCTATATTAGGAAAAAATCATCTCAGTGTAATTTTGTGAAAACAAAGGTTCCTCTAGTGATTGATCTACTCCAGTGATGTATGTTTAATAAATCTCCCTTTCCTACTAGTCTTCTAATTACATTTTTTAAATATATTAGAAATAATTCCTCTAGGAATATTTTCAAATAAACCCAATATTGCTCAGTGTTGTTCTGTAAAAACCATTTATATAGTTTGTCTATTATTTTCACAAGTATTTTATATGGCTTTAATAGATTTTACATTTAATGTCATTAAAATGTGTATGCTTCAATTTTAAAATAAAGTAGCACTAAATGGGCTTCATTTTTACAGCACACTTACAACTAATGTACATTAGAAATTCTGGACCAAAAGAATGGCCCAAAGGGGGGTAATGAATATAGAATGTACTATGCAGCAGAATGTCTTTTTTGTCTCTCTCCGCAAACATATGGTGATGAGGTTCAACAGTACAACAACAAACGCCATAGGAGTATTTAGCATGCAATTTGACAGCATGTGGTTATGGACTGACAAAAGTGAGATTCTACCCCCTGATAATTTAGTTATTCGTCACTTAATATCTCTTTCTTAAACCAGAGATTTGCTTATGGCATGCTAAATGATCCAAGAGTGAAATTCAGCAGAGGATCTTGCAACATAGAATCCTGGGGCTGGAAGAGACCTCAGGAGGTCATTGAGTCCAGCCCCCTGCCCAAGGCAGGACCAACCCCAACTACATCATATCAGCCAGGACTTTGTCAAGCAGGGACTTATAAACCTCTAGGGATGGAGATTCTATCACATCCATAGGTAACACATTCCAGTGCTTCACCTAGTAAAATGTTTTTTCCTAATATCCAACCTAGACCTTCCAAAGTTCAACTTGAAATCATTGCTCCTTGTTCTGCCTTCTGAGAACAGCCTCTCTCCATCCTCTTTGGAACCTCCCTTCAGGCAGTTAAAGGCTACTATCAAAATCCCCCCTCACTCTTTTCTTCTGTAGATTAATTAAGCCCAAATCTCTCAGCCTCTACTCATAAATCATGTGCTCCGACACTCTAATCATTTTTGTTGCCTTTAGCTGTACTTTCTCAGATGTGTACACATCCTTTCTGTAATGGATGTAGTACTCCTGATGTGGCCTCAGCAGTGCTGAATAAAAGGGAATAATCACTTCTCTAGATCAGCTGGCAATGCGCCTCCTAATACACCCTAATATGCTGTTAACCTTCTTGGCTACAAGGGCAAACTGTTGACTCATATCCAGCTTCTCATCCACTGTAATTCCCAGGTCTTTTCCTGCCAAACTGCTGCTAAGCCAGTCCGTCCCCAGCCTGTAAGTGCTTGGGATTCTTTCTGTTGAAACGAAAACCATTTGAGAGTCAGTTTCATGACTTTCCACATTAGAAAACAAAATTGAGAAGAACTTTTGAACATACCAGCACATCAGTTTTGACATTTTTGGAATAAAACCAAAGAAATTAACAAAAAAAGTTTAAATTAAAAAAAAGTAAAACTAAGATATAGCATGGTGATTCAAAACAACTATTAATTTTTAAAAAGTTAATTTGAGATAAAAAAATTAAAAGTTGAAATCAAATTGAAACTTTTTAGAGTTACTGAAACAACATTTTGTTGACTCCACTTGAAAATTTTGCTCACATCTTTTTCTTTAGTGATAAAAATGTAGCCGTGTTAGTTCGGTGTAGCTGAAACAAAAAACAAGACTATGTAGCACTTTAAAGACTAACAAGATGGCTTATTAGGTGATGAGCTTTCGTGGGCCAGACCCACTTCCTCAGATCAAAGAGTGGAAGAAAATTGCCACAACCATATATACCAAAGGATACAATTTAAAAAATAACACATATGAAAAGGACAAATCAAATTTCAGAACAGAAAGAGGATGCGGGACATACCACACTAATACCAACTCTGGTACCTTCCCTTGCAACAAACCCTGCTACACCAAACTAACACGGCTACATTTCTATCACTATAAAATGAGAAGTGATTGTCTAGGAAGGAGTACTGCAGAAACTCAAGATGATTCTTACCAACCACCACAGGACATACCACACTAATACCAACCCTGGTGACCCTCCCTTACAACAAATCCCGTTGCTAGCTTTGTCCACATATTCACTCTGCTGATACCATTATTGGACCTAACCAAGTGAGTTATAAGATCAAGAACACATATTCCTGCACATCAAGAAATATAATTTATGCTATCATGTGCCGAAAGTGTCCGTCTGCTATGTACATTGGACAAATGTCTCAGACACTTCGCCAAAGGGTCAATGCCCACAAAACAGATATTAGGCAGGATCACAAAGAAAAAACAGTTTCTTGCCATTTTAACCAGAGAGGACATTGTCTCAACGACTTGATTACCTGCATCCTGCTTCAAAGGCCTTTTAAGACTACACTTGAAAGAGAATCCTCTGAACTGTCATTCATGCTTAAATTCGACACTTTACACCTAAGTTTGAATAAAGACGCTAATTATCTTACCCATTACAAAGATAGCTTCCCCAATTATCACCTCTAATATCATTAGCTCACAGACATTTACCTCCCCCCCACGCCGCATCCCTCTTCTGTTCTGAAATTTGATTTGTCCTTTTCATATGTGTTCATTTTTTAAATTGTATTCTTTGGTATATATGGTTGTGGCAATTTTCTTCCACTCTTTGATCTGAGGAAGTGGGTCTGGCCCACGAAAGCTCATCACCTAATAAACCATCTTGTTAGTCTTTAAAGTGCTACATAGTCTTGTTTTTTGTTTTTTTCTTTGTATAAGTTTAAGATTTTGACTTTTCATTTTCATTTGGAATAGGAAAGAAGTTTAATTACAATGGTTATCATAGGATTTGGAAACTGTTTCCCACTCAGCTGTACTGTAACAAAAAGACCTTACATATTTTTGAATGTCGCTTTGCTAGGCAAAGAAATTAAATACATATTCCCCACAGACTGAAATTCAGTTTTATTTTGAGGACTTAAGTGTTGCAGTGGCCTGAAGCACAGCTGTTAATAACAAGTTCAGCATAGAAAAGGTGGAATTTGAGCACTTTGGGCATTTTGAAAAGGTTTACTACATTATTGTTGACCTTGAGCTGATGTACAGGAAGCAAGTATTTAATATTGGCTGCTTTAAATTAGCACTTTGGTAAGTTAGGAAAAAATTGCTAAGTATAGGAGAGCTGACTCCCCACCCCTTCAAAATACCATTTGTTACACATGAAGGTTGAATACCTTGGTCTTATGTGCTCTGGGAAACAGACAGTGTAATGCCTAACTCCTCATCCCTCTGCCAACTGCTGGAAACCTCAGCCTTCAAATAAATGCCCAAGTGTCCCATAAAATACATGGGGAGAGGTTGGCATATAAGAAAGGAATCCTCAGAAGCCAGCAATTTAGGCTATGTCTAGAGTCTAGACTGCAGGCTTCTTTCAGAAGAAGGTTTTTTTGAAAGAGATCTTCAGAAAAAACTTCTTCCAAAAGAGCATCACAAAAGCGCATCAAAAAAGCAATGCGTTTTTTCAAAAGAGAGCATCCAGACTGATTGGCTGCTCTCTCACATAAAAGGTCACCTGGAACCACTTCAGACAGGGCTGTAGGTCACCAGTTGCTTCTGAGTGCTGGTGCTGGAGCCTTGCAGAGACATGCACTTAAAGTCCCTGGACAGATGTTTCTCTGCTTCTGTTGTGTGCTTGTCTACCTCTTCAAGGGACAGCAAAGCTCTTGTAGTGCCTGCTGTGGTTGCCCTTTTGTTTTTAGATGCCACAGCTTTTTCCTTTGAGCTGGAGCTGCCCCTGGGCATGCGACTGCCCCACACAGCCATGCTGCAGTTTTTGCAGCACTCTGTTCCAGCTGCCTTCCTGGTCCTGCATGAGCTGGATCCCGAGCTTATTCTGGGGACCCTCTCCCTGGGTGCGGCTGCTCTACTTGGGCAACTGCACCCCACAGTAGTGAGGCGTTTTTGGAGGCTCAACACCACTTTGGACTGGTGGGACCGGCTGGTCATGGAGTGACCAGCAGTGGCTCCAAAACTTCTGCACGAGGAAAGCCACCATTTTGGAGCTATGTGCCTGACTTGCCTTCACACTCTGGAGATGTGACACCTACCTGCGGCCCACCATCCCTCTGGAGAAGCGGGTTGCAATTGCCCTCTGGAAGCTTGCCATCCCCGACAGCTACCGGTCAGTGGACAACCAGTTTAGCATGGGGAAGTCCGCCATCAGGGCCCTCCTCATGGAGGTAAGGCATTGTGTGGCTTCAAGGGGGAGAGGAGTCCTGCAAAAGGGGTTCCTCAGGAAAGGAGGGCTGGGGTCTGTGGAGGGTGGATTGGGATAGGGGGAAGTCCCATCCCCAGTGGGTTGTGCCTTCCCTCCCTCCTACAGCCCTGCTGCTGGGGGGACAGCCTCATACAGGATGGCTCCTGGGGTGTTTTGGGGAAGGGAGTGGAGGAGTGAAGGACGGGCACTCCCAAGGGTTCAGACACTCCCTCTCTCATTCTCTGTTTTTTGTGTTTGTTTGTCTCCTTCTGCAGCTAGTGAGGGCCATTAGTTCCATTCTGCTGTGGAGGGTCATCTGCCTGGGAGACCTGGACTGATCCAAGCACCAGAACATTGAGCAGCCCAGAATATTAATAGGAAGGGCTACTTTTCTATGGCCCTGGTCAACCACCAGGGACA